AAATAGGCTGATTTTGGCCATTCTGCCAATATGACTAAACGGTGATTTTCTATTTGTTCGAAGCGGACACTTAGAATTCGCATATGGTTAAGGTAGATTAGGGTAGTAACTAAAAAGAGAAGCAACGCTAACATGTCTAAAAATACAATAATAAGTTCAATACATTATTTTAAAAAAAAAAAAAAGAACAATCCAATAGCTAGCATACATTACATATAGATAGCATTTGGCTAAATACCTACCCCCTTTGCCTCTGTATCTGCCTGTTTTTAGTATGTTTTGTAACTGATCGGTAAGTTTGCGGTGGTAACGAGATACCGATTTATCGTACCGGGTGTACTATTCCCATCTACTTCAGCAACGGAAAATGAAAATCCCATAAATGAAAGGTACTTACCATCGTGCCAGTAAACGGCCAAGGTAGAAACCAATACTACGGCCCCGTGGTACATTTTATTCAACGAAACCACGAGCAACTATTTCAAAGCTGTGGTCTTGAAGATTGCGCCTTTTGTGAAAGAAAAAATTATACCAGAAAACCATTCTCCTAACGGCTACATCATCATCGCTTCAAATTTACGGTTGATTAGAGTTGATTAATTGAAAAATATTGGTTAAGTTTTATCGTATCGGATTAACTTTTCAGCAGCAATACGTTTCCAAAATAGGCTCCTCGAAACGAGGATCATACAAGCGTTACTTACAATTTGTATTACTATTGATAATGTTGATTATGATCTATGAATATTGATCATAATATTTCTAGTATAATAATTTTTTACATTCCCAATCATATCGTCTGAAGTAAACGTATTAGCGTTAGTAGTAAAATGATGACACGTGTTTGCAAACAGGATGCTAGCAAATAACTAAAAAATCTACTTTTTCAAAGAGCCTACTTTCGATCGCTAAAATTTTACGTGATCATGGAGTATGCACTGTAGAAAGTTTGTTTCGTATTTATTGCAGAATCGCTTTTGTGTCAGAAAGCTAGCAGACTTTATCACTGTTAGCCTAAAGTAATATGTTCATTTGAATAGAGAAAAAATGCACTATGTCGCGCTGTAAACAGAGGTAGTGTCAACTCAGGCGCGATGCGGTGCATTTTGTTGATAAACTATACGCCGCATAACTTCAAAAATGTTGCCATTTACAGGAATATCTAAATCGTTAGAAAATCTGTTGTAGCAGGTGTTTGCTGTCACGGCACCCGGATCAGGTGCCTTATACGAATCGCTGATCCGAATGTCTGTGCAACAAAAACCAAGAATAACTTAATTCTCGATTTCGTTGTTTTTATATATGTTATATGCATAAAAGTTAAACAATGACGTAAAGTATTGCTGCAAACGGTTAGCTTCAGTACGAAACGACGAGTTTGTACGCACGTCAATCTCAGATTCGCAGCGCGTTAAGTGTTCCGCAAAAGCGGGACTGTATCCTATCGGCCATTGCCCCGCAAGTTAAAAGTGTAACAGCGGAAAGAGATACTGCTAATTCTAGTGGTGACACGGACTTCTATGGACCCGATCATCATCACGATTTGCTTGGTCACGTCGTGTACATACAAACCTACTTGGACAATCAGGCCTGTCTTGTTCCAGGCTCATTTTATATATTGAGCCCTGTGTTGAATTCGAAAATATTCCCTTAGTCCCAAATATTGAATTTTCATATCTGTCTAGCTCCCGAATTTGATGGAGATACCTAATAAGTTCGGTCTAAATCGTTGGAAAATGTTCTATGTTTAACAGCCGCTGCTTGTTACTGAAATGCTGGGGGTAACACAAACAAGAGGAAATAGAAGAAAAATAGAGTCTCACCTAAAACAAAGAGGCGGGCTTAGCATCCGTTATTTGCTGAAAAAGGCCGATCCTAGCAGAACCTCGGTGCCTACTAGATACTACTTCGATAACACCATCTAACGAAGAAGAAAAAGGCTATAACTCTAAGACAATATCGGAGAAAAGGTCATCTATATAGCTAGAATTTGTACATACAAATGTTTATTTTGTAAATGCTGAAATCTAGAAATATTTACTTTACATGCTTTCATACGAATGAATATTTGAACTTTTTATACGATAAAACTATTCTCTAGCGTAGCCGATTCATATTACACCGTATATACCGATATACAGCCGTATTTTTTCTCAGGACGCCAATATTGCGACAAATATATAGATTTTTGCAACTCCTAAGTAAGTCTTTCAATGAGCACAAAGTTAACGAATTTGAGAACGTTATAAGCAATCATCACCGAGTTGATTGTCGATGAGTCGAACTTTCGCTGTTCGGTGCACAGCGTTTTCGCATTTAGCGCCAATTATGGTTTTCCCCATTCATAAACAGTAATTGATTAATCTCACCATTTACATGATTGCGATGAGAAAGTGTTAGGTAAACAACTTTTAACTGCTAAATCGAGCTCTACAAAACGCAAGACAAAATAATTCCAACTGAACACCTTGATCCGCTATCCGTACAAAAATAGCTTGTGTAGACCAACGTCACGTTACTTTTTCTGCCCACTATGTAATTTTCTGCAAACTGTAGAATGGGCTTTAGCTGCGGAACGGGACCTGACATGATTGGACAAACATACATATATATATATATATATATATGAGTCAAGATCTCGGAGGCGGTGTGTTGAAGCTCAAGTGACGCAGGGCCAAAAGCGACACGTTCATAGATTATTGCAAAATTTTTCCAAAATAATTTCAAGCAGCTATATACAGATACCTAAAATAAATAGACCTGGCAAAGATTGAAACAAATCCCGTGACATGAAATAAAAAAGAGTAATACTCACTTTAGGGTCGCTTCAGCATCGAGGAGCACATTAACAAGCTCTACCTGTTTTTCCAAGTACCTTACCTCCACCTAAAAAACCGATTTATCATGCCTGCACGTGCATACTTCCACATATGGGTGGTGCTCTATTTCTGTTCAAAATAGGTCGCAGTAGACGTACCTGCAAACTAGCAGATGTATTCGTTTTGTATAGAGGAAACACGAAGCCTGAACTTGGTGCTCAGTTTCATACAACTACTATTATTATTCTTAGTAGGTTACACGGAGATGCTTACCACAACCATGAGATAGTGTGGATACCCGCTGTTCTTGTGATTGAGTGTAAAGTCATGCAGTTAGTTACTAGATAACACTATAACAATATGTACTTGTGTGGTTCATTTGTCATGTATGTCACGCCTCGTGTTTGGTTTACCTTCCAATTGGCTGAGGACGCTCTGAATGAACGATTTCGCACACTGACACGTTCGTAAACGAGTAGTATTTTCATTTACCCCATGGTAGCAATGCTACAAAAAGCATAAGCACGATGACATCATAGGAACTATAAGCTTTGTTCATTCGATAAAAACGCCATAAACAAACCAATTAACAGTGAACACAGTAATCTTACCTGCTCATTGTGTTTACAATTATGAATTCGAATTTCTCTTAAAAACTACCTCAAGTTTTTATTTCGAAAAACGCAAAACAAGTTCGACATTTATTCGCCGCCCATATACTATGCTCAAGAAGCTGGATACATGTATTATTGAATGTTGTATTTGTAGAAGTCAATAAGAATCCAAGTCTTTTCAGCTATACAGTAACGAAATGCTATAGACTATCGCAAGTAATCCGTACATTTCCCTTTTGCAAAACAAGGCAGAAGCTACAATCTATTACTTGTTAACAAACAGTGACGATATCGACTATCCAAACGTGTTGTTTCAAATGATCGTCTTATGCATAACATTTGGTACTGATCAACTTTATAAAAAAGTTATTAAAGAATATAATACGTTGACGAATTTCCAGTATATGTAGTATAGTTATTGGTGGTATTATGTAGTCTCGAGCACGTATTATCAAAACACAAAAATAATTAAGTTGCTTGCTTAATCATTGGCTAAGTGAGTTAACACACAACAGTCGTCGTCACAATTTCTGTCGCCAAAAACCTTAAAAACGAAGCTCGAAAATATAATACGACACTTTGGCTTAAAGTGTACAATGATATATACTAAGCTTAGATCTATTTTTTTTTTTTACTAGATAGGTTAATTTTTATAACTAACCATCGATGATATTTTGTTCTATTAGACCTGTAATGATACTGGCCTGTATAGTCGCAGAAAATTCTCGCGTAGCTAGCCCTCATCTTATGTAGCTCAATATCAGAACACATCTAAAACGTATTGTCTTTTCAATCTGCCATAAAGAATGTTATATATATATAAAAGCGATACATTCGTAGAAAGGTAAGTGCGTTATTTTTCCCATTCATGCCATTCAAGAAAGGAAAAATACTTAGCTGTATAAAGGGGTTCTAAAATTTGATAACAATAATGATATAATCAATTCACTATGACTTGTAAATAAGGTTTTTACCTACATTTTTTTTTTTAAACTCAGAGACAAAAACAGAGCACTTTTCAATCGTAAATATTATAGAGATTAAGAATCAGTAATTCCTGCGTAAACGGCATATTGCTGAAAAAATGCCCTTTAACCCATGCTAGTAGGTGGCCAATTGACTGTGTCGTATTCTTGCACGGCCATATTGTATCCGTATATTTAAGTGAAGAAAAAAATGCTTCCATAGGGTTTAAGTAAAGGATGTTCTAGCAAGAATTAATCACTTAATTAGCATTGTGTTTGTGAAAAAAAAAAGCACAAGCGGTGTTGCGTATACGCATGAAAATTCAAAAGCAACTACCCTGTAGGCTTAGTAACTACATACTATCTGTCTCAACCCCGATCTTGGTTAGTATAAGATAAAGAACAAAAGTTCCTGACTTGGCGATTGATTTATGATGATGGCAAGAATTAAACAATATGTTCTTCAGCCTCACATAGTTAATATTATAGTTCAATATAATACCGCGCGCGTAGTGCCCAGTCATTATTTTTGCGCCCTCTCGTCGACGGCGTCTCTTGAATACTTCTATTCATTTGGTGTGGTATCGACAGACCGTACCGGTTGTGGATTGTGGTTAACAGGCGCTCCGCGAACGCGAGAGAGCCCAGTGGAGGTCGTTTTGTGGTGAATCGAGGGTGGTAGTGCAATTTCTTAGTTTTGGCAGATTCGGGGCCCAATAGGCCAACTAAATTGAGGATGCTTCATCAGGTGTTCAGACAGGGCCTTTTTAGCCTACGGTCGACGTGCGCCGTTCAAATCGGCGCTAGGGCTTTATCCGGTAAGCGACCTATGTATTTCACAATTATATAATTCCACGTTACCCATGCGGAGCCTCTTCGCTCCTATAAAGCGCCCTTTAAATATCGCACCTCCGCCAGACACAGTGAGAACGTCATGTGGCAAGACTCCTCAGTGTCGTGCGCCATTTGGCCCACGTTCGCAGGGTAGGGCTTTAGCATTTTTTGGTTTAGTAGCCATCGGTCGCGAATTGAACACTGTCTCTCTATCTATCTATATATATATATATATATATGCAGTTACAAAAACATTCTGATTTTCTCTCTCGAGAACTGCCTGGAAATGCATCACAACTGTAATAATACGCTTTTACCGTGAACCGTACGAAACGATAGTTGGGTGGGATGACGAAAATGTAACTATTAAATTCTACAAAGTACTACTAAATTCTACCTATATTGAGATATAGGTAGAGATAGTATTCTCTCAAAAGGTCGTTTCAGACAATCCTGAAATTAACCAATAAGACGATGATGAATTAGTTGGTACTGTATTATCACATGCCGTAGGCTCTGTCAATATTTCCAAAAAAAGTTCTGCTCCTCTTGCAAAAGCGACAATCCCTTATTTTGCATATTCTTCAGCATAAGAGCCATAGTGTAATAGATAGAAAGTTCTGTTCTCTACTTATGTTTCAATATTAGTGCACTATCTGTAACAAAAAAAAAGCTATTTAAATAGATAAAAATTTCGATTCTACATAGCAATTTTGAGTTAGCTTCTCGTTGCTTTAAAGTGCATAAAGAGCGTAGATTCGTAACTGTAGCTATGAGACCTAATTAAACTAAAAACGAACCGATGATACTGAACGTATATCGTTTGTGTCTTTGCAGTAAAGGAGACCACGAGTTTCGAAAAAGGTTTGCGTCGTTTTTTGTTTAAATTCTAGGTTATTTGCGGGATAAAACCTTGTCGCAGTGCACAAAACAGATTTAAGTTCCATTGTCGTTCCGCGGTTAAAACTACCCGTCTTTTATATATATTTTTCGTTCGCATTTTGTCAAATGCTTAGCAATGTGGTCCAGGCTAGCAATAATTTAATATAGTGCTATTGTGGGACTAACCAATGAAACGATCGGAGAGATGCTTGCCCGTAAATTACACTAACGCCGAAGTTTCTTTGTAACTTCCTTCGGATTATCCATACTAATTTAATTGAAACCCGGAGACAAACTGAATAATGTATGAGAAACAATTTATACATCACTACCCAATTGGCTCTTAAGGTATATTGTGTATAAGAAATTTTCGTTAGAAATCGTAGTTGTTTAGTTTCCAGTGTTCCAACCCAAACGCATTTTTCTAGGTTAGAGAAAAGCTACTGTTTTATGGGGCCTGCGCACCAATGAAAAGCAGATTATACCCGTCACATAAAAATGCATCTCTTTCTTAAAAAGTTCGCATATTTAATATTTTTATGCCAATATATCATATCAAAAAATATAGTGGCTGTTATTTTCCAATGGCTTTTAAAATTTCGCTTTTACAGAAGTTGTCGGTGCGTTAGTATACCTTTCGAGGCTCTTTGAGATCAGCACAAACAGTTTCCTTGCTTATAGCCAACAATTTTTTTGTAGCTTCTATTTGCCCTATTCTCAGGGCCATTGAGGGAGCAGCATATAAAAATATGGAAAGCATCCAATTCCTTTTTTTTTTTGAGAGTCCATCGTCTAGGACGGATGCGGTCCGATATAAAGGAAAGTAACGGCTGTCATCACGTGCAACTATTTTTTTTAGAATGCCTCCTTTTTTTTTTATTATTATCATTTGATCGATTTTGTCCTTAGTGAAGAAAAGGTTCATTATTTTACACCCTTTGGTTAGTTGATTATGTATGGAAATATTGTTACTGGTAATAGTTTGAGCGTGTACATTGATCTTTTCCTGTTTTTCCAAGCATGTTTTTACTACTTCGAGAGAGAAAGCTAGTGGAACAACTCAAGAATCGAATATGATGACAAACCAGGCTGTTGTTCGCAGTACGATTACTATATCGATATCATTTAATTTACTAATATTTTTAATTCATTTCAGATATCGTCAAGTTTATAAAATAAAAAAAAAAAAGAAATCATTCAATACAGTTTGCCGCAACGCAATAAGTGTAACTTGTTAAATCTATGAGATGTTACAGTTTGTTTAACTTTCTTTGTCATTGAAATTGAATGGCACAGTGGTACTAACTGCTACTCACGAACTATTTTGTTGACGATTATAACAATCTCGTACCGTAACCCGCTTGATGACTACTGCCCTAAGATGTAATTGCTGTTTCTTAAGAGAGCGCCGCTCGATTTTCAACAGTTCAAGCTTCATTGGCAGACATACATTTAGCCCTTTGAACTAAGTTTGGCTACTATCAAGTTTTCGATCAAAGACCTTGACACTGTCCTTCCTAATGCCGATCGCCTGAACGCCTAGGCATGCTACAATCGAAAGTGTTGCCACTACTTCGATGCACTATTAGTGCCTATGCTACTCTTCTATATCTCGGGAGGTTATAGAAATGCCAATAATCTGTTATAAATCAACGTGGTTCGGTCAACCCATTATTCTCATTGTTATTGGTTGATTTCACGAGAATCCTCCCGTCCGATCATGAGCGCTCCGGCAAATTATCAAGATATTTACCAGTCTATTGCTTCTGTTTTATGATATATATCGTTTTTTTTTTCGCTTAATCTTAAAAATTTACTGCATTTAAACTATTACTATACTTTTTTGGTACAGGACCTCTTTTGTTTAACCGCACCGATATTTGATCGCAGTGTATGATTTCATGTCGTTTTTTTTTATTCTCTCTTCTGCTTCCGCAACAAGTCAATGTTTTTCTATTTTTCAATGAGCTATGATACCATTGCTATTCTTATTTAAATTGGCCGTGTCATAAGCTTTAAACGGTAAATCATAAGTGATCATTGTGCTGAAATATTTGGTCCTATGTAGTAGTCGTTCGCGCGTTGATTCACTCATGGGTCACCCTCGCGCCCTACCGTCCTCGCGTCTCTTTGCTCGTATCAGCGAGGCGCTAACGCCCACAACCAAAACGACCATGGCGCGGCCGAACTGAGACTGTTAAATAACCTTGCGGCTCACCACGGTCGTGGCCTTGAATGAATATACAAAACATTTGACGAGGAACACAGAATTGTTGACGAGTAAGAAGAGAGAAGCGTTTGCGACAGTCATAATAGAGCGATGTTACATAGCAGGGGGGGGGGGGGGGAAAAATTAAATAAAAGAAAGGCGAATGCGAACTGACCATTAATGCTCGATTGTAACTAACTTTGTTTGGTGCTGAATAATTAATTTATGTAATGGTAAAACATGAGCATGCTCTCCGTTATATACGCTATGCGGAGCAAATTTAAGTTGGGTCAGATCGTTCGAATGCGCCTGTGACGTTTTTGACCACCATCTAGAACGGATGCGATCTCACATATCCCTACAGAAAAATCATTTCTCAGAGATGGTAACTCAGCCACACTGTTTGCTACGAGAGTGTACCACGGCCGTTCCGTACCTAAAGCGGTTTATATCTGTATATATATATATATATAAACCTAATCTGATGGACTGAGGCTTTATGGAACGTAATATTGCGTGTTTTTTTAGAGAACTCGCATAAGGAGTGGTTTTACGCTAAAAACATACGGATAAAACTTCAGGAACGTGCATTTTGATCTTTTGTTGTTAAATGAAACAAGTTCAGCAGACCGATGGCCGATGGGCAGTAAGGACTACGTGATCGCTTGCTCTGTGTTTTCATGGATAGCAGTTTATCACTTATAAAAAAATACTAGGTTTTCTAGCCAACTATTTTTCACAATGCGTATTTGAAAGCTCTTGTTAATTATCGAATGAAAATTTTATTTCTAAGGAGGACATCTAATCTCTGGTGCTTTGTATCATATGACCTTCAATGGCGTATGATATAAACTACTGATCGTTGTTCACTTAGTAAAAACAATAGTTGTTTTTACTGTTCAATTAGCAAAATGGAATCCTTGCTAGTGACCGAGCTTGCTTCAAACACCTACATTTTTAAAAACGTTGCCGTCATTTTTTCGGGCAGTATGAGAAACGAAATTGGTGGTAAATAAATAACCCATGCAGTTAATATTACATTTTGAGTTCTCGTGTTGAATCACTGCAAAAATAAATATAAAAATAAAATCTGCAAAAATAACGGTAGTAACACCAACAAGTAATAACAGTAGTGAAACCTAAGAAGACGTTGATACTTCTATACGCTTTGACAAGGGTTCTGCTAAAGCTTTGATCGCTAACAGTATTGCTCACCAACACGAATTATGTGTTGGAAGCAACGGCCATTTTTCAGTTACTTCTATCCAGTTCAGTTGAACACTTACATAGTGTGCGTTTTTTTGAATGGCGTGTCACATTCAAGCCTATTAACATAGTATGATAAAAAGCAGTGCTTGTTAATTAGCGCCAGTAGGTTAATCCGATGGAATGAATGGTCGTGAGAGCTTAACCGAACGTACGAGAGGAACGCCACCTTGAGCCTGCGATGGACACTCGCCATGTGTCGTATCGTTTATACTGAACTCTATTAATCCTTACAAGTCAGTCAGAGGGTTTTTTTTAGCCTGCTAGTGCCAAATCTATTCTTCATATTATTATTTATTGGCTGTTGTTAAGAGGAGGTCAAGAATTGGGCGGATGTGAAAGCCTGCTAATCTAAAGGAAGCATTGTGGTCTGGGACGGACGTAAAACTCGAAACAGAGGATGTGAAGGTTGTACACTGTGATGTTGTTTCCCAGATGCATGACGAGAACGATATGGGTCTCTGTTTACTGCCTGCAGTTCCACTGCTCAACTGCCGCCCTCGTGAACAAGTTATAGCGGAATCTTTTTCGAAATAGAAGTTAGAATTGCAAAGAGAAGGCAATGTCCTCGTTTTGTAATGCATGAAGAGTGCTATCTATTATCGTCTAGCGTTGTTAGAAAAATATTCAGAAAACTGATGATAGTATCGGGATTGCTCCTATTCACCTGATCATAAACTATATAGAAATATATATGCTATTTTTTTGTAATATATCTTTGCTCAATTACATTTACTATTGAAGTAATTAAATTGTAGTGAACAATAATAGCTTCTCTTGCGTTCCTATTTGGATTTTTCGTTGAACCAAAGTGTCACAAAATTTTTTAGACGGTGTAATTCGCACAAATTATGTGCTTGGTCAACTTTGCAATTCTAGACGCATCGTCGTTAACTCAGACGCAAGCATCAAACAAAACGTTAGTATAAGGTGGCGATAAAAGGAATGCTTTCACAATAGCTAGAAACCTTTGGTAGCCGCCAGGGTTGTAAATACCTAAATAAACGTAAATGAAATGCAAACAACATGGTAGTCGAAGGCAGTGTGATAAAAGGGGGTATAAGCGGGCTTCTATGTTCACTGTTTCAGCGTTGTCACGGCAACTGGACTATAGGACTTGCCGGTCAATTGATTCGGTCTAATTAGAGGACACCTTGTAGCTTATCTTTGGAGGGCTATAAATAGCTTAATCGACAACATTTTGACGATGGAGGCCTTTTCTTAGTCGAATAAATCTCTTACAGTATATGGTAAATTCCCTTTTGAATTGCCAAAACCTCATGTATTCTGATCCACGAAAGTTGCGCGTATAACTACAGAGGATGATTTTCTTTTGACCAATTTTAGGTATGATCTTATTTCCTAATCTATTACACGTTGGACCTAGAGTTCAAAAAATATTTTAAGCTGAATTCTATTAGTCTATAGCAGAAACACTAAGTTATCTAATTAAAAAACGGCTTAAGCTGAAATTGAATCAGCAAAAATAACATCCGGTTGTTAATTTACTTGTTTTACCGTAGCATCAAACGAAGTCATAACTTGTTCCTGCAGCAATACTACCATAACCAATCGATTTATTTTTCGATTTGAGCAGTATATCGAAATGGAAAAATTAACCGAATGGCTCCACGAGCAAAGGCTTGAATTTGTTGTGTTTGTGCCCATTTTATAATGCGTCTATGAGGAGCTGTACATGGAATTCTCATAGAAAGGTTACTCTTGTCGCTGTTTGGAACTAAACTCTAATGTATGTCTTTACATATGTGTCTTTTTTAATGCCGATAGAACGCAAACGCAGTGATTGAGTAAAGAGTGCGAGTGCTCTAATTTTTCATTTCTCTGTCCCAATAACTAATTCTTTGACGCGGAACGAAATGGTTATGAGAATTGAATGTCGTCTGACGGTACAACCCGTTTTTACAATGACCAACCGAACAGGTAATAAGAACATGCCTATTACATGTCTGAATATATTTGGCCTATTGCGAGGAATTATGTTTAAAATTTTATTTACCCGGTCGCCAAGTTGCACAGAAATACAGAAGAAGATGCTTGTAAGTAGTAAGAAATACATCATTTTCTATACTACAAAAAGCTAAAACAGTACCATCATTATAGCTGTAATGCAGTGGCTTTTTCGAAAGCTTTCTCGTAAAGTAATCACTAATGAAAACTACCTTATGGGAATGCGTGTTCGCGTGTCTGACAGACCATAAGATACCCGAGCATCTTCAATATGTCACGGACGCGCAGAACCCTTCTTTCTTCCACATGGTCGAGTACTTCTACCATAAGGGCTGGCAGATCGTCGAAGATCAACTGGCTGAAGAAATAAAAGGAAAAATGACGCCAGAAGAGAAACGGAAAAAGGTACGTTAACTTATATGTTCTGCCCTTCATTAATACTTACGTCGTACCGTCCTGTCTTTCAATCGGTATTTTCTATCCACTTCTGCCAGAGGTTGTTTCGATTTCAAATAATTCAGTTTTAACGGTTAGGAGTAGGCGAGTGAAATAGCAGGACAGCAATATTTCAGTTCATGATTGATATGGCAAAATCTAGATTACCAATATTCAGATTGGTGTAGTAGTTCTAAGGGTTGCTTCTCTGCACCAACGATATTATATTATTAGTAGGCAGGTGTTTTTTAGTACAACAAATTCATTACCTAATACACATGGAGTCGCCAGTTGCGAAGCCGGACTCGGCTGGTTCGAGTTCCGCTGCAGAGCGTACGTCCCAGTAAATGTTAAGGTAATAATCTTAACATAAATGTCATTATCTCGCTAAATTGTTTCTGACCAAGGTTCCTGCATTTTCTCTCATTGCTTTTTGTCTAAGGTTCGTGGTTACCTAGAGTTGCTAGGTCCATGTCACGCGGTACTGGAGGTATCGTTCCCACTAAAACGTGACAACGGGGAATATGTTATGATTGAGGGATGGAGAGCTCAACACTCGCTGCACCGCACACCGTGCAAAGGAGGCATTCGTTACTCGACTGACGTATGCCTTGATGAAGTCAAAGCACTTTCTGCGCTAATGACCTTCAAGTGCGCTGTCGTAGATGTGCCTTTCGGTGGAGGTAGTTACTTAATTTCGGATAGGCTGTTTATGCTTAGGCTGTAACTGCGTGTTATTTAGTACTAAACACAAATTACCATCTGATATAGATTGCAAAATTTTAAACAAAGTAGTTCTGCATTTTTTTCTATGTTCTATTTATTGGACTATCTGTTTATATATCACATGTTTTGTGTGGTGTCGGCAGGCAAAGCTGGTCTGAGGATCAACCCACGCGACTTCAGTGAGCATGAACTGGAAAAGATCACCCGCAACTTTGCGTTACAACTATCGAAAAAGGGATTCTTGGGTCCAGGTGTGGATGTGCCTGCCCCTGATATGGGCACCGGTGAAAGGGAGATGTCCTGGATTGCCGACACGTATGCGCAGACCATCGGTATGTACCTCTTTATGAGTACTACAGTCTAGAAATACACAGAAATGTAAACCTTGTTCATATAGCAACTGCTGGCGTTTTCGGTGCGTATAAACGTGTACGAATTAAAAAATGTTCAGCATTCGATTGCGGTTCTCGCATAGCTTTGTGATGCTTAACCAGTATTTAAGTGTCTAGAATTTGCTACAGGTTATTTTTCTGTGAATATTTTAGGGCATTCGGATCTAAATGCTCACGCTTGCGTAACTGGCAAGCCTATCAACCAGGGCGGTATCCACGGGCGAGTATCCGCCACGGGCAGGGGTGTCTTTCACGGTTTGGACAATTTTATTAATGAAGCGTCGTACATGAGCCAAATCGGTAGGCCGTTATACAGTTAAATAACAACCTAACTGAGCACAATTTTGTTATCTATGCTGTCAAAATGATTCGATTAATTGTTAAAAACGGTTGCAAAGAAATAATAGCCCCTACGTTGTTCTGTGATAGATGAAGGTTAAGACCTTTTTGGGTTTATCAAACTACGCAGTTTCAAGTATTGCATTATAGCAATCGATAATTAATTAGTAAGGTGTTTTTCAATATTACGCTTTAAATTAGGCACAACTCCGGGTTGGGGTGGCAAGACGTTTATCGTGCAAGGACTTGGAAACGTGGGTCTTCATTGTACACGCTACCTGACACGTGCCGGAGGTCGCTGCATCGGAATTCAAGAAGTTGATGGGGCTATCTTCAATCCAAACGGTATTGACCCGAAGGAAATTGAGGACTGGAAAATCGCTAACGGCACGATCATGGGCTTCCCTGGTGCCGAGACCTACCAGGGCGAGAATATTCTTTTTGAACCTTGTGATATCCTTGTCCCGGCTGCGATGGAAAAGGTTATCACTAAGGAAAACGCTCACAAGATTCAGGCCAAGGTATGTACTAATAAACAACTACGGCCATTTAGTACGTAAATTCAGGCTGAACGCTAGGCCAATTTGAGTGCTGCCCTGTCAATCCACCGTCTTCATTTTACTTTTGCATTCACCATTTAGAAGTTACGCCCTTTTCTCTTTTGAGTTTTGGAAAATAATTTTTTTTTGTAAGTAGTTTTGTCAGTTGCGATCGTTTTGCATTTGTGATCTTACAGATTATTGCCGAAGCCGCCAATGGCCCAACGACTCCAGCAGCGGATAAAATTCTAATGGATCGTAACATTCTCGTGATTCCTGATCTATACATTAACGCCGGTGGTGTAACCGTTTCTTATTTCGAGTGGCTTAAAAACCTCAATCACGTCTCGTACGGCCGTTTGCTGTTCAAATACGAGCGAGAGTCAAACTATCACCTCTTACAGTCAGTCCAAGAGTCTCTGGAGAGGCGATTTGGTAAAATGGGTGGCCATATTCCCGTAACACCTTCCGAGGCATTCCAGAAAAAGATTTCGGGGGCGTCCGAGAAGGACATTGTCCACTCGGGTCTCGACTACACAATGGAGCGTTCAGCTCAGAGAATCATGCGGACGGCTCATAAATATAACCTTGGCCTCGACCTCCGTAGCGCCGCGTACGTCAACTCAATAGAGAAGATCATCCTTACATACTCGCAGGCCGGGCTCACCTTCACCTAGAAAGTTTTCTTTTGTGAGAACTTCTTTTCTTCCTCTCTCCTTCACATACTGCTATGTATCAACCCATTTTTCGCTGTACGTTTTAGCTCGAGCAACGTTTGCCCGGTGGCTCCCAGTCCCGTTTGTGTACCCATGAAGCAGAATTTAGGGTTAACCAAGACACACCGGCTGGGCGTTCTGGACGATGGCTGAATGCCGACCATAAGAAAGAAGACGACAAACTAGGATAGTAAAAAAGCGAAAAATAAATTATAATGCTTTGTTAGAATCAATAATAACGTAATAATCATGTTATGAAGAATGGAAATTAAAGAAAAACAAGATCATGCTAAATGCTAATGAAAGGATATATGCCGCTACAATAGCAACGGTTACACAGATATCATTGTGCAACATCCTTTCCACCCCTTATTAGTAAAAACAAGGATACGATGAAGAGGATAAGATAAACACATAACGCATGCATTGCAGATAATAATATAGAATTATTAACGATGGCTTATCAGCAATTTAGCTATGCCGTGTTTTACCATCCATTACCTCCATCCAGATGACAAGGAGAAATGATAAATCCTTTATTCTGGGTGATTCTGAGGTGTAGTCAATATACAATGGGAAAAGGAATTAAGTCTTGTTTAACGTAGGACGCTGGTGCCATAACATCTTGTGCCTTCGCGTTCTTTCAAATGATATGCAGCGTACAATATCGAGAAGGAAAAGGACGAGACTGAACGAGTTAGAATGAGCAGAGTGTGTCTTTATTCATACACTATCATTACTATAACTGATGAATCTGAAGATTTGATTAATTTGATTGCGACTGACAATAAACGCAATGTTTACTACTTTCAAACACAGGGTGTGCAATGCGGTGTAATTGAAGACGGCATTTATTGATGATACAACGAGTGACTGAATATAGGCGGCAAAAAAGAATGCCATAATAAAAACGAAAACAACCGATGGGGGTGTTTCTTGAAGTCTTGTAAAGACAAACATGGAGATTCTAATAAAGTTAGTGATCAATTAGCTGATTATGTAAAGAAAAAAGAGCTGAGAAGGTCTACATGATAAATTATTTTTATGCTTTACGACACACTACCACAGACTTGGGTTGACCAACCAAGGCAACCAAGTGACTTTATCAGGATGGGATATAGTACCTTATTCTCAATTTGAGACCCTCCATTTTGTTGTGAGGTAGATTGCTGATTGTTTAGTTCAGTGTTCTTCACGAACGAATTGATTGAACAATTCGGCTCCCTGAATCATTGAACACAAGGTAGTAAATTTTTTTGCTTTTTGTACAAAAAAATCTTCGCTCTTTCTAATCAATGCTGCGTCATTTCTAGATACGGCTGGCATGTTACTTTGCATCTGATATTTTTAAAAGTCACCTAATAGACAATTATTGATGAGCGGATCACGTTCATACGATGACTAACAGAAACATAATTCAAACACGAGAGGTACAACAAGCGACCGCGATGAACAATGTGTAAATAAATCCACCGCTAATGCTCCGACAAATTTGTTAGTTATATTCTGTTTACATGATATATATGTTTCAAGTGAAGACGCAACTCAAATGCAGTCTGGCACATGTACTAATAAACTGTTCGTTTGGAACCAGTATTGCTTTGCTGTTGACTGAGGAAGTAAAAGCATGTTTTTGCTCTGTAATCTCATTTGATTTAACAGGCAAGTTTGTGGTTTCATATCTTCCACGTTTGAAGCATTCGTCTACACCACTAATAAACTTGATATCGAAATTCCAAATGTATTCTAACCCATATTCTGAGCGATGCTTTCTTTGTAGTATTACAACTGTTTTGCTAGTATCTGTACAAATCTAATAATTTGCAAAGCACCGCAAAGTTTCGCTACATATTTACCTAATCGCTTCTCGGTTATTTGAAAACTCCAGAGAAATTAGGGCCAACAGAGGTACCCAATTTATTATGTATTCAAGGTCACACTCTATAATGTTTTCTTATCCTTAGCCAAACCCGTAAGCAACACCGTAAAAAGTGCATCTCCCTTGTACTGGGAATCCCAAATTGACATCTGATTAAATGATTGTGTATTTAGAAAAACACCATCAACAAATATCGATATATAATTTACTACAAGCCAGATAAAAAAGAGACATAATCAAATAAGGAAGATGCTTTTACGCTTTAAGCAAATTTATTTGCTTTTTTCCTTAATGCCTGTTTTTGTTAGCAAAATAGATTGATTAAAAGTTACACGTCTAGGAGTCTTTCATCCGTCCTTATTATACATGATCTCGAGGATGAATAGAATAATTGTTCAACTTTAGTCAAGTCATTTAAAGACGGAATTATGTGCATTTTGTCGTAGTTAATGTTTGTACCTCGAAATTAGACAGCTGGTAAGCATAAGTAGCGTCCGTTTTTTTAACTAATATGAACGGTAACGTTTCACTCGGAAATATGATCCTAATTTATCATGTATTTGGCGTCATACATATTTTTTTCTCATTTCTTAGCCAATATCGTTATTCAATTCCACTAGGAATTATCAGATCTAGTGTCACAGGGCTTGTTCAAAACATGATGATCCATCAATGTGGGGTCTGGAAAATACGATGAGAACAAAACAATTGTCCCCTCAAGCTTCTGTAGGACAAGTTTAACGACCTCTGCCATCTGTGGCCTCGCATTGTTGTCGAAAACGTTAACTTGTCGTTTAGGTATTTTCTGTTGGATATCCTCCTATACTTGATGCAACTGGCTCTATTGTTGACGATTTTGCTTTCTTACAGCATTTCCAAGTATATGAGATCCCTGCAGCCCTATCGAATCCACATTACAGCCTTTCCGGATTGGAACTTTGGTTTAACTTCGATTTTAGTGACACGTCCTAAAACCATAGCTGACCCTAGTGGAATGTACCCTCAAGGTCTATAAAAGCTTTGAACTTAACAGTGCCCATACTGCATACGGCACAAATGTTCCAGACTTACCTTAAAAGATGTTTAATCTTAACAAAAAAGGTGTGGATATTGTTTCTTTTTCACGTGGAATATCCATGTTTGAACCCTAAATTTGAAACAAAATCCGATTCACGACGTATTTAAACTGTAATATGCTTATAAAAGAAAATAGTTTATAATAGTTCTAATGCTCAACAACCTGTTAGCAAACATTACAATTTGTGTATTCAATAATTTAGAATGGTATTGTTATTACCAGATTTACATCTAAACAAATCCTAGTTAAAGTGATAACACTGGCCTCCATCATGCAGTTTAATAGTAAGATTGCTATTACCTATTTTCCGCGAAGCTCTACCTATTTAGATCCTGTAAGTACTAGAATGATCAGCTATAACTTAGGAATTTATATCTTGCTTTTTATTTAATAGGAAATATAGAATTAGAACAGCATAGATGCATATTTAGTAAACACATCAAATTTTTTAATAAGGTGTATAAATATCGTTTCTTTTTTTTCAATTGTACGCTAAATGCCTTTTTTAAAACGTTTGTGGCACTTGCCTATAAAGATATATCCGGCTGTAATGTTTGAAATTATTTCCCCACGGCAGTGCAGTGTAAACGCGTTTGCCTGCTAAACTCAGGGACACGTGGAGGTCTGTTTTAAAATCCAGCGCGCATACATACTTCGTTTCGTACTGGTAGGCAGCCTTCTGAAGCATCAGTGTTTAATAGTTCGAGTATGAAAGGTAAGAGAAAAATATTTTTAATTTTGTGTTATTTTAAATGCTCGAGATTCGAGAAGTTTTTTTCTAACTTCAAACACTGAAAAATGCCGGATGCTTATAGAAAGTGTTATGATAAAGTGCAATTACTATTTTGTATATATAGTGTATATATAGGAAATATGTTGCTAAACTTCACACACTACATCTTTTCTCAGGAAAGTGTCTTTCAAGTTTTCGGAGCCTGAGAAAAACGGGCAAAACATTTTAAATTGGTCAAAATATACAAAAAATAATACAAAATATATGTTTTGTCTTACTAATTTTATGTGGAATAGTGCAGATAATCATGCCAATATTTGAAAAGCGTTATTCAAGAATAGCGTATCGGTTATCTCAACCAGTGACATTTCGACTGATGTGATTTTGGCAACTGTTTGAAAGAGTAACATTTAGTTACTAGAGAATTTAAATATATCTCTAAAAAACATGACATGTTTCCAGACATGTGATGTTAAGATGTCATGTCTCACAGATTAAAAAGCAATTAATATATTTTAATAAGTGGATAGTGATTACTTTGTAGTCGTTTTTTGTTTGCTCTGGTGTTGAAACCATAATTTAGTTTAGTATAAAGTATTTAGTCTGATACCTACATTTAAAGAAGGATTATATTATATGATGGAATTTGAAAAGAACATTTTAAGCTAACTACAACCAACTTCGTAGCGTTATGCTGTGGAATAACTATTTGCTTTAATGATAACTCGTGCGGATTTATTGACCAATAAAGTATTCCGGCTTCCTCTTGCCGCTTGAGGCGAGTGACAAGAGTCGTATATTATTATACCTAACAGAAAATATTTCGTCCGAAATGATAATAACAATAATATACCGATTTGATACACATGTATTTGTCCGAGTGGAATAAAAAAACACTGTGTTATTTACTTGATCATAATAGCCTTCATTTGCACTTGATAGATCACCGTCAGATAAGTCTTTAAGGAGGTTATTATAGTGCTTGTTTACGACGTGGTAATTACCTTCAAATCATATGTGCAGGAAACGAACATATCATTTAGAGAACTTTCTAGTTTTTATTTATCACGAACTAATCGCCCGATGGTCTTCATCATATTTCGTCTCAGCTCTTAACAACAATTCTTCCTTCCATTGACTACTCCTGTCTTTAGAAATTGCCTATAGTGTGAGCTACTATTTGAATTTGCGTCGCCTTTTTTCAAATTTCCCTTCCTCCCTGTCTCGTCTCTCGTGAACACTTCACGTCATTTCAGCCATCTATTCAGTTCTAGTCAACTGTGACAGCCAAGATTATGTTACGCTCTCTTTTTTGTCTGATGTTTTTACGCTTTTCACGTGCCTCATTTTGTTTATTACTGAAATATATTTCTATGTAATAGCTCTATATATGTATCTATTGTATATTTGTCATATCGCACCTTCCTCTGTCCAGCTGCAATCAAGATGATCGAGTTTCTGCGTCCACTTCGCACCCTCAATCGTGTGCTTACTAACCTACATCACTCATAAAACCCTTGGGTTTTTTGTTGCCGTTTACTCTCTTTTCTCTTTCGTATGCTCTTTTTTCTCTCTCTGTCTCCCTGTTTTTTTATTATTTTTGATTTTTTGTATGACTCTGCTTTTTATCTGGCTCGTCACCCTAAAACCTAGTATCGCTTATTGGTTCAGCGGCTTTGTATTAGCATAAACGTTCCTGTGGTGTATAGTGTCTTGAAATGGACAGTATAGAACCAAGCAAGCATAAGCCTACATCCTGAAAACATGTGTGGTGTTGCAGATATTATTGGTAGCATACCTCCTATATATCAGTGCTTCATTTGCGACGTCGTATCGTTTCCGTGAACATCGGGCCGCAGCTACTTACCTGTGTTAACCCCAGTCCACAATACGCTTAGCTGTTGTCAATAAAATCAATACATCATTCCCGCAGCGTATCAATGACGCAAAAACAACGTGGGGAGCACTGATGATCGTTTATATTTGCCGCATTGCCTCCTCTGTGTTCTGTCCGTTTTTTTATTTACTATATTCACCACGCCAAAACACACGTACATGTATGTAAATAATTACATATATATCAAGATGTATATCTTCCTTCTGTACGATTTTTCTGTACAAGTGGTACAACGGAATAATTGTTATCATTATAGGGGAACAATGTTAGTAATAATGACAATCCACACGTCATGTGCATTTTATAATCTTGTTTGTGTTTGTCAGTCTATGGAATATGTCTACGTAAGGTTCCATTACGGTTTACTACTTAGTTTAGGACATATGGCCATTTACTTTTTTATCAGGCAGGCCTCTTCTTTTCACCGCACACATTTTTTCTTCATAATTGGAAGAGACAGCGGCCATCGTATTTGCCTTAAGACTGGGCAAGATCAGTTACCATTTTACGAAACGGTATTCTTGTCATGAGAACGAAAACGATGATCGGTGGCTGTAACAGTGACATTCTTTTATCTACGACTCGATCTCATGTATGTATAATTTAAGCACACCTTTTCCTCATTTACAAATAGTTTATTCATCTATCTACCTAAGTGGCTAATTAAACATACGCAGATGTCCGCTCACTCACAACAATAAGTCTGCGCAGTTAATATATTTCTGTCATTTAAGGCGTCGTTGTCGTCCAGCATGCATGTCGTGCTTCTATAGTTGTTGTATATGAAGACTCAATCCACAGCGTCAAAAAAGCCGCTGTTCTTCAACAACGCTCTGTTCACCAATTCACTTTGTTTACTATCAGTCTGTTAATAAATGTACTGATAAAAATAATGAAAAGCTCAAAAACGCCTAATTTAACATGTTGTAGCCTCTTGCGGCAATATTTGTTTAGACCTATTAGTTATGCTTTGCAAGCATGAACAGATTACACTGTTTCATGCTTTATATTTACTCCTCCTCTTTGACAACTTTATTCTTTGCCTGAAGTTACTCACCTGCAAAGTAACTTATTCGTCTCCCCTTTCTTAGCGTTTGACACTCTGACTGGGCGCGGTAAGTATATGGGCTTAGGTGATAAAAGCACAAACAGAAACTTCCCGATACTTGGGGGAATCGCTATGAAGAAGTAACGTGAGGAAGACGATATGACTAAGTTGTTGTGTTTTCATCTTCACGATGCCGATTATCGTCTTGTTGGCCGCTGAATGCGGCCAGAGAAGCTTCGACTTCGTTCTTCCATTGTGAACCCAGAATTGCGATGTGTGTGCAGGAATGACATACATGTACACGGGCTGTTACGTTTACAAATATATGCATATGATTAGAAGGTGCTAATGACGCGCTTAACGCTAGACCATGTTTACCTAAACCTCTTTGCTTCTTTTTTTGATTTGGCTTTACGAGAATCCCGAACTGAGAGCTGAGTATGGTACTACAAAAAGAAACTGGACCGGATGCAGTTCGGCTACACCAGATCGATTAGCATTTGACCTGCTAATGTCGCGTTTGTATCTGCACAGAGCACGACGAAGAGATGTTGGCAATCAAGGCCTAGCGTCTAGCAAAGTGATTTCGATCACTCGAAGGCCACGTTCTAACGGATCGGTTATGTATAACCCTCGCGGAACGTAAATTGTCTCGTTTTGGTGATCTATAAAGCTGGCCGCCTGTTTCACATATTTCTCGTAATGGGTCTCCATGCAGAGGTAGAGCAAGTAAGCAGATATGCATGCTAGACAACCTGTAATTTTAATAAAGAACACACAGACACCCGAAAACAATTAACAGTGAGTATTAGAAAAAAAAAAGTTAGCTAATTAATGCCTATATTATGCGAGACTATATTAGCAATAAGATATCCATTAAATGGTAGGTGAGACTTAACTATGGTTTTTATTAGAATGGTATTTCATCTAAAATAATTTAGTTGTTAAGAATAAATACTCTATAGACTAAGGCGTCAAAATGTTTCGTGGTTTGATAACAGGGCTTCTATATTGACTTATTAGTTCTTTTTTAAGTTTTATACTTGCACTCTGCGGTTATTTTTTTCTGTGAGAGTGCTTATTATCAACCTTATAATGCTACTGAACGGTAGAGAAAAATTGGCGTGAAATCTTTAGCATAAACAACGAAAAATTATCAAAGTAATTCGGCTTTGTTAATCTTTGGGATGCAACGTATGTTCTCTATGGTATGCACCTAAATCAAGCAAGAGATCAGTTCGCACTTGTACTTCTCATACAAAGCAATTATATTCCCTTATTGGGTTGACCGTTTCTGCCCTCCATAAGGTTATATGGTTGTTCAGAAGCCAATCCTAATTCGAGCATAGTTAATGTACATTAAAATACGAACAGAATCTCTTTATGGGGAACTATGTAGGAATTTCGTTTCCTTTATTATCTGTTCCTATTATATATATATATATATATAATGCTTCCGATTGTTTTAATTTGTAGTTTTGCAATACATAAAGTTCATTGGTGAAATCAGTCAAAAGATTAAATAATAAAAGTCTTAATATCATATTGTTTTCTGCTAGAGGAGAAAACGAGTGATTGTTCAAACGCATCTGCAAAATTCAGGAATGGAAGAACGAGTGTACTGCATTCACTTAAGACACATCATTCATTACAAACAGAGTAAATTAATCTTGAATTTCCTTCTAAACAGTTCGAAAAGACGTTAAAAATGCTTAAAACAAGGCCGCTAACTACAACGGCATGGAGCATACGGTCTACATGTAGCATGCTGTTACAATACAACTTACAAAAGCTAAATAGACAAGAAATATAAGGCCAGTATTATCCGTTGAGAATTATTGAACCACATTATATTAGTGCCTCAAAATTACCATCGGTTCATCGATCACCTGATCCACGACATACCTATAGGCAAGGTATCGCAGGATGACTTAGTACCATTGATAGTAAGCCTTAAATATTTTTTGAGATCGAAGCCTTGCAAATTTATGAATAACTGTTAATAATCAAGGCTTGTAATTTGTTTGGGTACAAAAACAATATCGTGGTAAGAATGCCGTTTCCAATAATAATACATGATAATATACACATTAAAAGTCATAACGAGCCGAAGAAACTGATTGGTAATGCTTCAGATGATATACTCATTCAAAAAACAGTTATTGAATGAACCAGTTAAATAAAAAAAATTTCTATTCCAAACAATTATAATTGTGGCTTTTGCAATTTCATGGAAGAACTATACGACTGCTCTTTAAAGGCTGTTTCTAATTGCTGCTTTTAAAAATAACTATCGATTATAATTTTCCTCAAATTAGTGTTGTAATGGGAATCACATTAGAATTCATTTCGAAAGAGAATAGCTACGGGGGTGCCCATTGCATTATGTTCTTCGCAAATCCTTTTCGATTAGTTATCAAATAAGGGAATGTTTCTAGTTCAGTATCCGGTGTTGGTGTTGAACACAGTTTCAGAGGGCTTGATTTCAATACGAAACACTCGGCTATAAACCTAGCTCGCCTACTGCGTCTTCATGGAGACATATATTACATATTATCCATAAGCCTTTACACTCAAAGAGAATCCTTAATTGCTATTGAGGGATACATCGGCGGTACACTACATCAGTACACTATTGACATACCTTCGCAGAACGAACTAGAATTCATCTTCTCTGCTTGGCGGTAGAAGTTATTTAGAGTAGACACTGTATTTTCAAACTGGTGTCGATCGATGAAACGCTCGAGTTCGAGCGGGAACTTGGTCTGAAAGCGGACCGCGGTCCCTTCCGTGTAATCTCGTTGGATGAACACCTTGTTTGCAGAGCTCTGTGGACCTCCACCGCCGCCAGCCGCGCCCGCAAGAGCTCCTCCACCGGCTGCCCCGCCAGCCCCCGACATCACCTCCGTCCTGAACGTAATCTTGACCCTCTGGCCAGCGGACCTGAACCGGCCGCCCCAGTAACCCAACCCAATTACAAGGCAGTGACGGCGCTCAGATTGGAACTAGTCCAATTATGGGCCTCCGTAGAAGTATAGGTAGAATTTGTGGTAGTAGTGTAGTTGTTGCTGAACTGTCGACAGTCACCCGCAATGAGCAGCGACAGACGGAGTCACTCACTTTGATACCAGCGAAAGCTCACTCGGAATAAATAGGAGTACTAGTAAACGAGAGTGTTTATCTGACTACAACAACGGCCGGAGTCTACAGCTATTTCGCTAGGTGATTTACTCGGTTAGGTGATACTGCATCAAATACCAACCATTGTACAGTCAATACAACCAAGAACAAACATTAGCCCACCACTGCAGCACTAAAAAAGGCACCGCCACTAACACCATTAATGCCCGTGAAACATATCCTTGGATAGATAGATGAGCTGCCTGATTAACCAACGATAGACCAACCATACGCGTTTTACCTGTAAATCTATCTATTTCGTCTATCTGCCGCTCCGTGGATGAACAAGATCAGAAAGCGACGAAGGAAAGGGGACCTCCTACCAGACACCACTATTCTAAAGAGCAAATTAACCGGCGGAAATAACAATCACAACAATAATAACACATGGCGTCAACGTCGCTTCGTTTACTCTACACGCGCCTTACAGAGAACTAAGAGCTCCCAGTCTTAGCTATAGTTCTGCCTGTCGTCCTATCAAATTGTCGTCTGCCCTAGCCTTCTACTAGCAAGCCGCATTATGTGCCCTGTGTGGAACATAGAGGTATCAGATGTTTTTCGATTCAGTATTTAAAGGGTTGCTTGGTTGCTTTTAGCAGACGATTTAAAGAGAAAGCAGTTGATGAATGCATTGACGAAATTTGATCCTTGCGATAGCCATTGCCAGTCGAGGAAGGGCGAAAACATATGTTAGCTTGCTTGGTGATCGTCGAAATGACAGCTGACGCAGCAAACCTAATCGGCAGCACTACACAAACAGAGAGGATTTCTCAACTCGTGATGGGAGAGGAAGCCCTCACGGCCTCCTTCGGAACACTGACTATAGGGCAATAAGATAGGAAGCGAGTGATCTGGTTCGTTTCAAGTATAGGAGGTTTCGGACTCGACGAACGCCACAGTCACCAGTTTAGAAAATGCTAAACTGTTCAGAAAGTATCACCAGTAATAATAAGGTATTGACCAAAGTGGGTACCTTTGTGTGACAACGTATCCATCTGCTGGATTTTATTTATTACGACCGAAAAGGATGGGCTGATTCCTGGGTGAGGTAAGTGCAATTTATGTGTTTCTGTTAGTAGTCCATTGCGTACTTCTAGCTTTTCTTAGATTGGTGCGAGGTACGAGGATTTGATGGAAGTGGCGATGAGGATAGTGTGGATGTCAATTTTCTGCTCTAATTCACATTATCCACACCAAGAGACATTTTTGGTCATTGAATTGAGACTCGTACAGAAGAAGAAAATGTTCAGCTGCAGTGCTCAGCCGATGTCGATCGGTGGCCAATCCGGTGAATGCAAACGAAGCGTTTCATTACTACATATGATTTATTTTATAGTATACTGTGTTTTATGATCTGATGGGAACAGGCCATCTGAAAAAAAAAGGGAATTGAACACGGGTTGACATTTTTCGCGTAAAGTAAGCAATTTGGACTTGCATGTGCCACTTTTCAGTTTGCTGCTTGTTAGTTTTTGTTCTTACTGATCTTGTAAATATCCCCCGGTGGGTGAAAATCATTTTGTGTATATTTGGCAAAAAAAAACTGCAAAATTTCAACTTGAATAAAATACATAGTCACTTGCATACACTGAATTAAATTGCACAATGAAACCCTCAGGAATCCGTTCTTCTAGGCCATCGCTGTCGTTACCCTATATCAGTGAAATAATGTTAAGCTCGAATTGGCAGTCGATCCTAGCCCAAGATGCGCGATGGAACTCATTTCGACAACCTTACATCCGTAAGTTCTAGCACCTGTAAATTAGTGTATGATTGTTTGTATTTAATTAATAGAATTGTTTCAATCATGTTCCCTAACTTAGTGATATGTAGACAAGTTACTTTAGGTCGTACATGACTGCGAAAATTATAGTGTGCTGTCGATGTATTTTTACTATTCAAGAGAACATAATTTCTCTCAAATATTTATGCTTTGGAAATGGTTTTTACGAATTGACTATTACTAAATTATTTATAGAAAAAACCAAAAATAATTTCGGTTGAGCTTAATATTAGAACACGTTAATAATAGAGACTATAACAACCAGCTTCGGAGACCTTGATGCAAATATGAAAATCAGCTTACAAAAGGAACTTGTTTTGCTAAACTTCGAGTGACATCCAGATCTCTGGATATTATGCATCAATAATCCCCGGTGTGGTATTTCGTGCATAGCTCATTTCTTATTTCAACGATCAGGAATCACATTAAAATGAAATCCTTCCCGCCTTTATTGTAAGGATTTGAGTTGACCTTAATATTGTTAGTTTTAATAAAAAAGAATGGTAGTAGAGCAACTAATGCTAGCAAGACATTTGCACTGACACCCGAAAAACGACCATCGGACTTTTGCTAGAGCTGGAACAAAACAGGTGGTGACTTAATATTACTTTGATTTGGATTCAGGGAATATGTATCTTCGCCGTCGGTCGCAGCTGTTGGCTGATGTTGTAGGGGATGCACCTTCTCGAGGATTTGACAAAAACTATATGCGCCTCCGTAGTCAGCTACTAACATTAATGTATGGCAGCCCGCCTGAATTAAGGCGCACTAGCCGCAGCGACAGCACTGCAACGTTTCATGTATATTTGTTTTACGTTTGGCTTCAAACTAATAATGAAAATGAAGTTACTACAAAGTATATGTATCACAATGTTTTTAATTGTTAATTTCTCGGAGATACTAGTGTTTCTCGAAGGATAGTGCATCATGTAAGATCCTATATACGAGTACACAACATCACATAACGAAAAACTCTTTTATTATTGTTCTTCTAACAACACTTTATAGATTAATAGATTATATAATATCTAAAAACACTAATGATGTCAATAGCTTGGTACTCTTTGCTTACGATTCGTCTACTGCGATCGCAGACTGTAGATCTTTCACTGACGGATGCATCGGACAGTGGTCGTCAATGGACACCGCCCCACGCTCCGGAAGGTCTCACACCTTCGAAGGACGCACATGCCAGCAGGTTATAGCAAGTACTATATTTGTTCGCGGTATATACCACATAGTTTAGCATTGCTCGTGATATATTTGTACATATAATATATGGTACATATTTCATGTTTGTCTTACAATAAGTTTCAAGCCAGTTAGACACAAATATAATAAAAAGATTGTCAGTAATTAAATTCAAGGTTTTGAATAATTGATGTTCTGATTTCTCCCGTCACTGAAAATGGTAATCTTGTTTTGGCGTGGTAAGACAGGACGGGGATATTGCTTTGCCACTACCCTGTCATTGTATTTGTTCCGAATACTTCACTACGCTCTTTCGATGCAGTCAGTATGCAGTAAAGCGTCTATTATCGAATGTTGATACCACATATTCGTAATTTGTTTAGGTAGAACTCTATGGCTTTGATGTCTACTGCATAATTCTACTATTATACTAGTGAAAACCTATTCTAAATCACATAATCTATTGAGAAACAGAATAGAAGTAAATGACATCAATTCTATAATGTACCGTTTGTTGTGCCGTGTTTTGTATGCCCAATATTTGACATGGATTCATCACAGAGCTTTGGCAGGTATCGGAACAGAAAGTTTGAGCATGTCGTATACATTTTCTGGAGTGCATCACATTTTCGAGCAAGGGGCAAGTGTGAACCATGTTGCGTTCGCCAACAACTGCCCGCAACTGTTGTGTACCGCAGACGCTCAAGGCGTTCTCTGCATCTATCAAGTAGACCCGCCCAAGGTATAAATATAGTACATAATTATATTAATAGTGATAACCTTAGTTAGAATTAAACAAGTTTAATAAACTTACCTTACTTAGTAAAATTTATTTCTCACGTTTATACTGTACGTTGACAGGCGTTGCATCGAATTGCTGGGCATAGCGGTCCAATAGTTTGGGCAGAATGGTCACACTCAAATGACGTCATTATAACATGTTCATTGGATGGATCGCTTTCGGTTTGGGACGCCATGAAAGGAGCGTTGCTACGCTCTATACGCCTACAGTCGAACACCCATGCTCAGCAGCAATTATCGCAACAACAAATGTTAGGGCAGCAAATACAGTTACAGCAGCAGTGCAACTGTGATCCTGTTCTCTGTGCTGCCTTTCAACCAGCGAACAACAACATGCTAGCTGTAGGTTCAATTCATATACCTTCTACAAGTAGAAAGGGAGTGAAAGAGATAATTTCTTTCTTTCGTTGGACTCAAGCGTCTGAACCCGAAGATGTTAAACTCAGTTGAGTTTAACATCTTCGGGCGACCGCTGCTTAAGTGCTGCTCAGACAGATTAAAGTACGTCTTATTCCTGTCTTCCAACGTAGCGCATTTAATCATTCTCGCATAAAGTTATGCTTTATCTTCAGCTTTCAATCCACTATTATCTTGTAAAACGAGAACTTATGTCGATAGGGATGTAGTAGTTACAATTCAGTCGGACGTGATTGATCTCATGTATGATATTAGTATCATCGTTCTCGTGTGTCCAACTAGACATTCTTCATGCATAGACACTATTTACGAATCCGATTCGACTTGCGAGTTGCGTTCTGTTAAATAAGACTGACATCGCAAATTATGTAGTCGAAGATTAAAAAGAATGGTTTCTAAAATTTGCTGTTTAAATTTAATTAGTTATGCTATACAGTCAATGTTTGTGTTGTTTAGAAACACAAAGCTAATATTGCTATCTGCTCATTGGCTTTTCATTCATATATAATTTTCAGGAGTGGGTTTCACAAAAAGGAATGACCGCGGTGTGTGTAACTTTTTTTTGTGTAACTTAACTACACTATATTGAAATACACTCTTCTATAATCTATCTATAATATTTGTGCATATTATAGATGGGCAGTGGACGTGGCATGATACAGGTTATCAGTGTCTCAACAGGAATGGTCGTCCGTGGTGGAAGTCAGCAACTGCAGAGTGGAGCTCGTGCTCTTTCAATGGCCTTTTCCATTTGCGGGACGTTGCTGTGGGTCGGAGACGATAAGGTAATACAACGATCGCGTTAATCATATTTGATTCTATTCTCAAAACTTAATCTGATAATAATGCAAGGACAGTAATCACTATATAAGGCGAGCTGTTGTATTTATAATGGACATTATATAATTGTTATGTATTATTCTCGTTCTTGTTATGACCGGATTGGAATGTCTTTAAATGAAAGATACTAGGCAAGTTACTTAAGTTATAACCATAACATTTATTATAGCTATTGCTAAATCTATTTATTACGCAGGACATTTCGATAGATCAACGGCCTGATCTATCTTGTTAATTCAAAGGCGAGTATTTGTTTTCCGACCTTATATAAAAACTAGACTAATTTGTTTTTCATTATACACATACACATTTTGTGCAAAATTTTGTTAGAACAGGTTTTTTTTTAGTTTCACCGTATTCAAACAATACCAGCATCCGTGTGTGTTACGCACGTTGCCAAGATAAAATGGACACGTGATATATCTTGTCGATTACGAGAAAACAAAGCTGCAAAGACTCCGCTATTACACAAGGATCAATTTGAATTCTCGGAAGAACGATTCGACTTAGAATTAGTACCTTATCAGCTTAACTGGAATAACGAAAAAAATGAACGCTTAACTTAATCCAGGTGTTCGCCTAATTTTACAAGATACCACTCAGGAAGTATTACATATCGGTTGTAATCGGCGTGGTCTTTTGGCAGCGTCATACAGTTGATTATTTGCTGTTCAGGCACAAACTCGAAGATTACGACTTCTTTTGGATCATCGACAGTAACATTTGTTTTGATGAAATCCAGAAACTTATCAAGAAAATGAAACATTCGCAAAGGGCTCCAAAACTCGCGACCTTCGTCGTGCAGTTCGGACAACCGGTAGCTCTTTACCTGTTCAACAATACCATCGTCAGTTCGATATCCACAAATCACTCGAGGTATACCTATCAAGTAACACTGAGCCCACCACTTGACCATTTTGAAACGAGCCATATTTTTTCTTTGGCGTGAAGTTTCGACGAACCTCGAGGTTTTAAATTCGACATAGCGACGTGTCGAATGCTTGTATTCGGGATATTTGGCCACCAGACGGTCGTCCACACCGTCAACCTCCGCTCCATATACAAGTGAATGCCGTTGGCCCAAACGAGTGCGAACCACAGAGCAAAATTCTTCTTTCTCATTAATTGGCTCCTGGGGCGTAGGGCGCCCTCCGGGCCTTGAAGCGGTCATATACTGCTCGAACTTGTAACCCCATGCAGCAACCCGTTCGAACCAACCACTTTTATTTTTCTCGCGCTCAATTTGTTCGAGTGTTGAATATTGACAAAGGTATCGACTGCCTTTATATAGAGTAACACCAAGGATCCAGTTTTCTTTTTGCTCATATACTGAGCACATAATCGTGGTCAGAAGACCGCGATACGAAACAAAATCTGTATGCAAACCAGACAGCTTGCTGTTCTCGCCATCGCAGGGGGCCCGAAATTTCTCGACGTTGTCACATATCCACCTAAGAAGATTGTCGAGTTTTTCACTGAGTGAGTGATTTTTGGGAATACGGTCATCAAACGCCTCGTTCAAATCCCAATCAAGCCTTTGATCTTGCGGCGGCTCGATAAGATAAGCCATTTTCCTGGTATCATGTACATAATTACGATCACCAATAAGGGAGAAGTTTCCCAATTCGACTGGTTCTCGTAAGTCTAATTCCGAGTTGATTTGTTCGTGCCCACCCTGTGGTGGTGTAACTCGAAGAACGGCACATGTTGGCAGATTCACTGCAAGTCACAGCAAACAAATCAAGAACGTGTATTTCTGTAATATGAATAAAAACACTGGTAAGTACGAATGAAGTAACAACATTCGTTTGTGCTAATCCTCTTATCTTTTTAGATATGTAGTATAACAATCATATATGTGAGAAGTCAATGATTTACCCAGGTAACTCTTTTTAAATCATATAGTAAAATTTATGAACCTTATATGGATCAAAGCCCACGTTTTGGTTATAACATTTATGACATGGAAAACTAAAATAAAAAAAAAGGTTGAGTTCTAGGATTTACTGTATACATATACAAAATTAACTTTTTGTTTGTACGTTTAGCTTTACCCCTACATCTGAATGACCCTATAACTTGAATACATATGTAACGGTATTTGTGAAGTTTGTACAGTTTATATTATTAATGATCAATTAGTTTGAGTATGTAGTAGTTTTAAAGGAGTATGTGCATCAATATTGTATTTTAAATTGCCGATTTATGTATAATAAAAATTATGAATATATGTGCTACTACTTTTGGGAATTCATCGATCTGGTACCATTAAAAACTGGCTAGGCAAACATAACATTATTATAATCAAGTATGATATCCTTAGAGTATTACTCTAACACGACAGAAATCGGTTATTGATTGGAAGAAACTTTTCTCTATAATGTCTTTCGGTAATAATGCTTGCATTTGAACGGAGCAGAGGCTCACGGAATAAAGGAGAGGTTTACTTGCCAAAACCACTTCAAAGTTGTTATCATCAAGAAATGTAATTTCTCACGAAGGGCAAAAATTGTTATAGTCTTCTTGCTAATTTAAACTTGCCATACCAGGCCGTATGTAGTTTGACCCTTTTGAATACAGAAAGAGACAACTTTACAGTTATTCAATTGAATTTGGCTTTTTTTGAATATTGACGCGTCTTCAGGGGGTCCTCAGTTGTATGTTATTTAACACAATATTATACTAGTAATCCTGTGCTTAAAAAACTAAGTAATAGCAGAGAAATAGCCTTCTTCATCGACATTGGGCTGCGACTTCGTGATTAGTGCAAACATATCAAAGCCACCTCACTTTAGACATCCTGATTTTTGTTAATATAGTTTTTGGCCCTAAAGTGAATACACTAAACTTTTTCATTTAATCTAATTTCAACTTGGTTTACCAAGTCCATTTGATAATGGTTGACGAGAGCTTAGAACGACCAACTAATCCGAAGAAATGCAATGATAATGTGGATTTGCACAAGTCAAACAAAAAGATGTCAGACACTCCAAGAGAATATTAGGAGTTACCATACTCGAGTTCGCTAAGTGGTCCTATTTCAAATTTGTAATTTTGACAAAGTTATGGAGAAACTGTAACGTTTGTTAAATGTTTCACCACTATTTGGCCTTAAAACTCTATCCGAGTATACTACACAAAGTTAAATAAGTGAAAACGATTTTGCTAACATTTGTCACATCCAAACTCACATTTATTACTTATTTAGTTGCCTTGCTAATGGAACTAATACTGACTGAGTAATATAATACTAATGTCTTCGTCAAAAACTAGATATTGAAGTTGCATATAATTGCGGCGTCAAATACTTTTGTGTTGCTTCCACCGAGGGCTTCCATGTTGAGCCTGAAAACCAGCATTTCCTGTTGCTTCTATTCTAAAAATTCTAGCCGCTTCGAGCTCGAGGAGTTACAGTTGTAGTTCAGCGAAGCCTGCTTCGTTCAATGGCACGAAAATACATCACAAACGTGATCACCCTTTCAGTCCCTCTGAGGTCTGTTCTAGGTTGAAGCAAGTCTTGTTCCCTTCTATAAAAGTAGTTGCTACTGAATTCGACTGTCCTTATTAAACGTGTCATATAACGCTGAAGACGTAATATACTAGGAAATGGTTTGATTTGCGTTCTATTTAAGGTGTAATTTTACAAAACGCTCCATATTCTAGTTACAGTGGACACTAAATTTTATATTGAAAAGATTGGATTCCTGGAATTTCAACGATATGTCTGTTTGGTAATATCAAATGTCAGAATTGACTAAGTAATTTCTGTAGGGACGTTAAGTAACGACCTAATAAACAATGGAGCCCTTCACTTCTATTAAGGCATTTGCTTATAACAGCTGCATTATTTGTGTTGAATTTATATATTCGATGCTTTGACTTAAAATTAGATGACTAAAAACTGATTCATACGTATGTTCCGACATATGCTCCTTTATGCATCTGTGATTTTGTGTTTTGCCCGCCAAAAATGACATCTTCACGTGCTAGTGTTTATTGCTGCTCCGCTTATCCAGAGGCAAAAGCAACGCGCCGTTAAGGTTTCGACCATTGAAGATATTTACGACGTCTCGATCAAATAGTCCAAATAGATTAACACAAATTAGCTATAGCAGTGAATATGGTTAGGTTTTAGTAGTACAAATAGAGCTTAATGAAATTCTAAAACCTTTTTATTTCCAGTATTTTGAATACTGGAAATAAAAACTGGAATACCGTATTCAAGCTCATTGCATTCGATAACTTACATATTTCCATCTTGAGTTTTTCGTCTCGTTTTGGACGATTGGCACTTGACATGTTGAAGGTTTTTGTACCGACGAAGTCCTACCACAAAGATGGCATGCCACAAAACTCTGTACACAATTCAAACGGTATGTCATTCTTTGCACAAATTTTGGCTGTTGTCGCAATACGTGACACCTCCCTGGTGCTCAGTACCAGACGGCTGACTGACGGGAAAGGGTACTGTTATGGGCTCTTCAACGCGGGAAATTTAAAACATTCCTACTGAAGGAAACGCGGACACCAGTTTTAATGATCGGTCTCCTTTGTACGATAAACTTAAATGTAGCATTGGCTCAGTGTAGATAAAGTAATATTTATTATTATTGTACCATGTTGAGTATTTAACAAAATGTTTGGTCTTATTTGAACCGAATTTATTGACGATTTAGGGAAGCATCAGTTCATACGTCTTTGATATCGCTTCAGGACGACTATCGCGAGGGAGAAGATTTTGCGCTCCCGGGGGAGGTCCAGTTACGTGCCTTTCATTTCGGCACTGGGTAAATCGGCAAGCTCGCGACCCATGTCTATTAGTGAGTATTTAGATTATATAATAGATGATATGGATTACTTTCGTTATTCACGCAAATTGTGGTGCATTAGAACTTTATTGAGACTTAAAGCATTATGATAAAGATGGATTACATACCTCAAAAGTAATTTTAAACATTTTATCGTCATAATTATCAAGTACGATTTTTTTATCGTGATTTACTAAAATCAAATTATCCCGATGGAACTGAATTCATTGGGATAATACAAACGTATATAAAATTCGGATTTTAAACCGACCTGGCTTTTGTTATTCTAAAATCTTTGTAAAAAATCTTTATTGGCGGCTTTGTTAGATTGGCGGAAATTCGTATTGAGCATCTGAAAGCGCTCCTTTCTGTTCCCGTTCAGTGGCCCACATATAGTGATTTCAAGAGCCTTTCCAAACTTGTCTTGAGCGAAATTGGGTTGTATGTTCCGGAATTTGAACCAAGGTTTCTTCCATTCTAAGGGGCTCCTTTTCCCATGCAATATTATTTCTATCATATGTTCGAGCATTTAGGCTTCTTCTGGAGGAAGATATTTATCATTACGTATTCCGCACGGTTCAAGTGCTCCACCTTTAACGAATCCTATAATGATCGCCTCGATTCTCTCTCGAAAGGTGAGGAGCATTCGTAATTCTGCATGCTATCCACCGGACAAGTGGGACCCAAGTGGCTTGGAAAAAGTTTATTGACAGTTTGTTCTACCAGATTCTGCAACAGTGTTAGCTGTGGCTTTCTCAGCTTACCAATAACCACCTTATATTTCCTCTTTCCCAATACATGAGGCACTCCAAGCAGTTAGTTGGTTAAATTGGATTTAATGTTTTTTGTTTCCCGTAGCTACCGTATCTCACTCTTCAAATATAACCTTTGGCGACATGGCTTATATCTTTTTCATAGCCAGTGTCCCATATCTGTGGCGCCTTATTTGCTGTAGCTTTTATTCTACACAGTTTATCTAAATATATCTGATCTTTATTTTTTAAAGGAGCGCAAAAACATAATCCGCTCCGTTAGCGTGCATAGAATCCATCCTTTGCTTAGGTAGCTTAGTTAGTAGAGCCTTTTTTCTTATGGAGGTTGAGGACAAATGCATTATGCACATCAGACTTCACAGTTATAATGTTTGTCTGGTACTGTGGGACTCCCACCTACTAAATCCTGGACCCCTCGAAGACTTTGGGCTTCGGTTCGGGACATGGTTTAATAATACTTCGAAATCATAGCTTGGAGAAATGGGCAATAGGCTGTTATCCCCTTCGGCACATTCCGTCCATCCTCCCATCGGGTTCTCTTCCTCTCCGGACGTGCTAAGTCCCGGGCAAGGTATCGTACCCTGCTCTTCCAGAAGACCCGACTGTGGAACAGCAAATCCTTGCTCGTCTCGTGTTTGTCCTTGCGTTATTCTCTTGCCGCACAGCCTTTCCTGCTTTTTCTTTTTCTCATGAGATCGTCAAAGAAAACCGTAAGTTTCTTCCAGTTCTCCTTGCCCTTCGTCATCATTTCCACCATTTCCTCTATGCTCCTTTTCGTTGATACGTTTCTGTGTGCCGGCTTGTCTTTGACCTCGTTCAATGCATGACAATAAAGCACAATGTGCGCTACTCTATCTTTTGTGCCATCTTTCGTAAAGACGTGCAGATGTCTGCTTGCACCTTACCGATCTTTGTTATGTATGTCTAAAACTACCCGTGGCTAGATAAGACTTGACAGGATTGGTACACCAGTCCATTCCTTGATATCTGGAGTTAATAGAGCCAAATTTTGGTTTTAGAAAAATTACTACTTTACCTCATTCTTGTGTTTCGCGTTGGTCTATCTACTGCCTTGTCTCCTTGCTGTTCAGCTGGAACTTTTTTTTATACCGCGTTTCAATTGTTTGCTTCATGGCCGTTTTGTCTAGGTCCATGTCACTGGTTTCGATTTTCTAGAATGTTCCCTTTGTGCCCAGCTTTGTTTCGTGCCAAGGACATAATAGTTACTTCGTTCTTGTTTTATTTATACATCTTAGCAGATTATGGCTACGTTGAGCTTTGTTATGCTCACAGTGAGACTTAGTACCGTTCTTCTTGGCTTCATTGATTGTTATTGATTTCGGCCTCTCTTAAAACTGTCCTCACTGATTTTTACTTGTTGCAAAGACCTAGTGAGCCCCCGACCTCCAGCAGGCGATATTGAATACCCTTCCTCGTGAAATCGGCGCTGCTCTTATCTTTATGATAACCCAGGAACGCCGTCCTTCTTCTATTTTTACCTGTTTTCTATTATATGGCGAGTTTGCCCCCATTTTTTGGATTATCCCTTGGATGTAGCCGCGAAGGCTTTGTCAACGCTTTCTTACCCCCAATTCCTCCTGTAATTAAATCTTCTTTACAGGCATAACTTGATCAAAAAGCTCATTACGACGTACGTAGTTTAGATGTTTTAGTTCTCCGGCACAACAAGTGATTTTTGTCGGATGCGAAGTATTTATTTTTGATTCGGTGCTGTAGCTGTGAATGTCATAATGGCTTAGATGCATTTCAAAAAGTTGTGGTTGCACTCTAAGTTGCGAAAGGAATTTAAACTTTGTATTGCTTCTGTGTAAGAACTTTTTTCCTTTAGCATATGCACACATATATGAATTGTTTCACTCTTAACGTAATATGACATATAATAGGAGTGCTCACTATAGCTACTCGTTGTGGTCGACGTTCTGAATTTTTTTTGTTACCTTTTATTATATTCCTTGTACAGGTGAATAGTGGGGGTCTCCTGTTAGTCTACGGGGTCGTTAATCCAAAGGATGGTACGCTGGTACTGAAAAAGAGGCTGCATGTATGCAATGGCCAAAAAACTTCCACGCCATTGAAGTCATGTTTCTCACCCATTATGTCTTTCAGGTATTATTATCATCAGTATTATTTTTGTTTTTTTTTTACTACCAAATACCACTACTTGTATTGAAAAAAGCGTTATTATAACAATCAAATTATATCTATTTGTATTGAAAACCATGCACTACAGTCTGCGAAGGATTGATTGTCTATATGGCACGTATTTTTGTAGTTAATAAACTCTTTCCGGCAATCTCATACGAGAGTAACGTTAGAGATATTGGAGAAGTCGAATTAATAATTATAACTTCGCTCAATAAACGAGGATCGTGTTAGCTATATGCTACTTATACAGAGCGACATCAGTATTATAATCCAAGATCGCCTCAGAATTTAATAGTGTTCATTTTATTAATGTTTATTCGATGAATGCTTGCTGAGGATTACTTCGCAGGTATCCTCTTCGAGCTACATTGTACACATAGAACTAATACCATAGTACTTTCAAGGTCTTTATTTTTTGTTTGATCGGTACAATAGGGACGGTTCATGTGTGGTAACTGGAAGCGACGACGGCGGGCTAGTTTTTTTCGATGTAACACCTTCTCACCCTGCTTCGCCTGTTAATCGTCTCCAGGGCCATTCGGCTCCGATTCGGGGAGTTGCATTTGCGGCAGATGAAAGGATGTTAGCATCTGCGGATGCGTCCGGTGTCGTAATCCTTTGGAAAAAGGGGCATTCATGACAATTTACATGTTTATTATTTAATCCTGGTGCCTGGAGAATGTCAAAGATTTAATTCTTAATTGACAAAACAACCGTATATACAGTCGTTCACTTATGGTGAAGACAATGTAA